AGTGATAAGAAATAAAATAAAGTTAAATCTAGATATCAAGACATTCATACCACAACTTACAGTGAATGTACACTAAATCCTTAAGTTTATTTGGAGTTAGTCTATTCCAGTGACAGCTCACAAGTATACGACCAGCTCTAATAACCTTGAGCTATAGCTCTAAATTCTGTTTTCAACACTAGATCTTGCAACAAACCTATTGTTGCTTACTTCTCCATGTTACCAGATTACCTCAGGAAATTGCCCTGAAGTAGCTCAGTTTGCCTAGGTGGCTTCCATGAGGATCATGCAATTAACTGACAACTCCCACAACAAATGCAATGTTTAGTCTGGTATGAGCCAAGTAGTTCAGTTTGCCAACTAGTATCTGTTCCATTCCATTCTCAATTACTTTTCCCGCTGAGGAGTTGTAAATTGATGGTTAGCTTCTATTGGAATATCCTGTGGTTTACAGCAAAGCATACCAGTTTCTAGCTGATCTATAACATACTTCATTCAGACAAAAATTCCCTTTCTCCAGTCTACTACCCTAAATTTCAAGAAAATATCCAAGATCATCTGGATTTTTAATTTCAAAATTCCAAAGCTCTTTTATAGGCTTTTCACTTCATCATCAGTGTAACCTGTTACGAAAATGTCATCCACATAAACAATAAGAATAGTGGTCTTTCCCCAGCTCTATGTTTGTAGAACACAGTATCATCCCTTACCCTCTGTACTGAAGTTGTAAATTATTCTATACTGAAGTTGTAAATTATTCAAAAAGTACCCACAGGGATTGTTGAGACCTAATTAGACTGACTTCCTCAGCTTGCACACTGTATTTTTCCAATGCATTAATAGCGCAAAAGCACGTCTTGTTAGATTAGTAGCATTTTCAAATGCATTTTTTAAAGAAGAAATAACAATTATAATATAAAAGGAAAAAGGAAAGAGAAAAAGTCTTCAAGGATTTTTTTTTATTATTTTTTTAATCCAGGGGATAAAATCAATGCACTAATGGATTTTTTTTTTTATGTGAACATAAATATTTTTTCATTAGCGACATCAACATTATTTTTTGGTAATTTAGCACATTGAGACGGACATAGCTTAAACCGAAACAAAACAAAAGATTAGAGACTAATTGGAAACAAAATAATTTT